AAGATTAATGGGCTCAAAGAAGTTTTAATTAATTATCACCTCATTTACTCTTCAAGTTGGGAGGGCATGCCTATAAAATTCCTGGTGATTGGTGTTTTTTCCCCCAGAGATAACAAGATTATATGCACCATAATACAGGTGTTTTCTGATAGGAGTATCTTGGAAAAGATTCTACAGATGTTGGGCTTTGATAAACAATAGCTTAAAAGAAGATAAGAAATCCAGTATTTACTTTTAGATATGTAACTTTCCCTAAAATGATGAAGACAGAAGAAAAAAGTCCCCCTTTTGGTATATTCAGTGTAAAAATCTGGTGATTAATAGTTAGGGGCTGTTGAGTTGTTTGTGATGCCTGATGATTATATAAGTAAATTCCCACTATGTCAGTCTATCTCCAATGTCAATCTGTAGCTCTTCCAAAAATATTTCAAAGTCTTGAAGACACTTGTTTAGTGTCTTCCCCTTTTTTTACTCATAACAACCTTGCCAATTATGTCATTTTTTCCCAATCCATCATCTTTTCTCATCACTTGGCAAAATTATATGAGTTTCTGCTCATCACCTCAATGGAACACTCAAACTTGGTCAAGGTTTGATGGTTCCACCAAATCCATAATTTTAAGGTTTCTATCTTCTTTCTCTCACTCTTTCTCAGTGCCAGCTTTCACAGATGTACATTAGCACAGGTAAACCATTGCATTAATTATCCTGATTTTTGTTGTTATTGAAGTATCCTTTCAAGGAAAGGGAAGTATCCCTTGTTATTGTTATACAGAACTATAAACTCCAGCTTAATCTCTTGTATTCTTGTAGCACATTGCCCATTTTATACTTGAGTCCAAGCAAACAAAACTATATTCATTTCTTCACCTTCACCTTAATTTTTAACAATATTAAATGTTAATTTTAACAATGTTAAGTGTTCACTCGACATGCTGATTGGTATTACCTTGTCTTTTTAATGTTTAAAAATATTTTAATATTTTAGTATTAAAATAATATTAACTTAATTTTTTTCACTTTTTATTTTTATTTCCATAATGAATTCTTCTAAGATTTCTTTATTTTAGCTAACAAACAAAGAGTTTCAACCTCCAATTTTGTTTTCAGTTTTTGTTTTTTTTCAGTCCAAGGTTTACAATACATTTGCTCTATAATTTACACAGATATGAGGACAATATGCATCCTTGCCTCACTCTCAATCTCTAGATCACATAGTCTTGTTTCATATTTGTTCACACAGGGCTGTTAATCTCTGTCTTCTCTTGGGCAGGTTTAAACAGATGAAGGGGCATTTTATCTGCACCTGGTGGTTTGCTGTATGATATGTGGTCTGTTATCTCCATTATGAAGTATTTCAGTATAACCTTTACATCTTTCTAAACCTCATTTACCATCATTATTTCTCTTTCTTGATTACTCTTGTGCAGTAAATTGTAATTTTTCCTGTAATTTCGCTCATCTTTTTAAAGAGATATCTCATTTTCTTCCTTTCTTTTTTGTTTTGTTACTTTCCTCTGTTAATTAACATTCTTGATCGAGGTAGCTTTCCTTATTCATTGCATAATATTGAAAATCTGTGTTCAGTTATTGTACATCCTTCTTGTTCAAGGCTTTCATCCTCCATCTTTCCTGTGCTATCATTGTTAGCTTGTTATGAAAACCACTTCACTCTTTTTTCAGTTTTGGGAAACTTTTTCTCTCTTCAGCCTTCATAGTGTTTCTTATGTCTCCCCTTGCTCCTCAAGTTCTCTTTCATGTAAATTAAATGTACCAAATCTGTTCCTCACATTGATCTTATATTCTGACTACATATCCTATAAGTCAAATCTTTGTGGCATATCTACTTTTTAAATTTTCTAAGTTATCTGACACCTCTATTGAGCACCAGTGGTCTCTGTTGGTTATAACCCTTGTTCTATATCATCTTGAATATCTACAGATTGAATTTGGGAGAATCTTTTTTAAAAAAAAATTGGTGTGAGTCCAAGCAAATAATCAGTTTTGTTCACATGCTGAAAAAGATGATAGATTCTAAAGCAGATGAGGACTAAGAGGGATCAGAAGATGCGCCATGCAAAATCCATGTCACCATGTTGTAGAATTCTGCTTAGCAGATCATTAGACTTCATCCCTCAGCTAGATACATAAAGAGGTTTCATATTCTGTCATGATTGTCAGTAGTTTTCCAACATGAAGTACAACACGTGTGTCTTATTTTGTAATACAATCAAGTACAATAGTAATGTTATCATTTATATTTTTTCCTTCCAATATTGGTTCAAAGAGATTTGGAAGAACATAAATTGCCTGATAACAGTTTTCTTCCCTTTTGTACCTGTTTCTTCTGTGCATACATTTGGTGTTGCAGTTAAATTTTCAGAAATTGTTACTATTATCAGAGTAAATTGGTAAGGAAATGCAGCGGGTACTCATTGAGATGCATTTGGTAACTGGTGTCATTCGCTATAGAATTGTCAGGGAGTTACTTCACTGAACCCAAAGATCATTTTCAACAAACTATTTTGGACATTTTAAGGTCCTCGGCTATTGCAGTTTCTTGAGTTTGTTTTAGCAAAATCTCAAAGATTTTCATTTCATCCCATCATGTTTTATTAAGTAATTTTGAGTATCACTGTTTGATTCTTTGTATTCATTTCTTTCTGTTGGTTTTTTAAAGATGCCAGCTATATTAGTAGCTTTTATAAATTAGATTTTCCATATCCATTCTGAACCACTATGTCAAGTAACTAGTCTTTCACAACTAAGTACAGAATTTCTAAATTCCTTACCTGATTGAACAATGTAGGAAGGGATAATGATAAATATTATCACATTAAATTGTTTCCTTGAGTTTCATCTCTATACTCTCAAGTAATGCAACAACAAAAGCTGTACTGTATAGCAAAGTAATATCAAGATAAATATTGAGACTTTGCCCATATAGTAAAAATAATAATAACTTGCTCATGACATCCAGAAAATGTTTTCAGATTGTACATATGTTCTATTGGTTTGCCAGCTAATTTAGTAAAAAAGTAGTTTATGTAGGAATGTAAGAATTGATGTAGTAACATTTCTTTTTATATTTTGAATTTAAATAAGATATGATAGGGCTGAGATGAAAGTTTTCAGACTTTAAAAAAAATTTCAAAAGGACTCGGAATGGGTGGACAACTTCTTTTGCTTATATCTGCCTAATTGCAATCTTTGCAGCAGTCATTGTGCTGTGTCCTATTTTTAAATTTGGGATATCTAAGAAGAAGGGAAGAATCACTGCCCTCACTCTGATTTAGTTTTATGATTGCGCAGTAAATCCATTTTACCTAATCAAAATAAGATTAATGCTATTTGTCCTTATCATACTACTGAATGAAAAACAGAATGGAGGAGAAGAGGAGCAAGAAAGAGCTGCTTGCAAATAGGATAATACAAATGGAAAGGCATTTTGTTTCAATCTTGGTTTTAAAGCATATTGTTGCGTGCTTTAACAGTAGCTTGATAATAAAGTTAGGTTTTCTTCACTGAATGTTACAGATCAGTGTTCTCTTAAGACAGAAAAGATGAAGATGTGGCTTTTTCCTTTTGGTATTGATTGAACTTCCAAAAAGATGCAGCTGAATATGTGTTGTGTTGGGTAATTTATATAGGAATAAATAGAAGCAATGAAAGTATTTGTAGCCTGATCCTAACCAGGAAATCCCATTTTTCTTTGTTTCCTAACAACTAAATTTACTGTTGCAACTGTAATTTAACATCAGAGCTCTGCAACATATTTGTAAGAGGTACTTCACAAAGTACAGTAGCATAAATAAAGCAATCCCTCCTTGAGATGTTAGGGCAGCCAAGTCCTTTGGGAGGTTAGTATGGCTGTCCCCAGGTGTCTGTGTGTGTACAGTTAATCCTCAACTTATGACCATTCATTTAGTGACTGTTTGAAGTTACAACGGCGCTGAAAAAAGTTACTTATAACTGGTCCTCACACTTATGACCATCGCAGCGTCCCCACTGTCACATGATCAGAATTCAGGCGCTTGGCAACCGGCATGTATTTACAGTGGTTGCAGCATCCCAGGGTCATGTGATCACCATTTACAACCTTCCCAGCCAGCTTCCAACAAGCAAAATCAATGGGGAAACCATGTGGTTCACTTAACGACCATGTGATTTGCTTAACGACTGCTGCAAAAGTCATAAAATCGGGTATGGTCATGTGATGCCTCAGTTAATGACTGCACCGCTTAACAATTTTCCGGTCCTTGTTGTAGTCATAAGTCGAAGACTATCTGTACACATAAACAGCCACTTCATTTTATGGATGATGTCTATACAGTAGATGCAGCTTTTGAAGCAGTCACTTGACTCTCAGAAAATAAGGCTGCTTTAATACTTCAAGAAGTGTTTTGCTCATGCTAATATACAGGTGGTCTTTGCTTAACAACCGTTTGTTTAATGACAGTTTGACAGTACAGTGGCCTCAGAAAAAGTGCTTTACAGCCTGTACTCGCACTTGTGATCATTGCAAGCTGTCACACACCCCCTGCAGTTACATGATCGTGATTTGCAGTCTTTTTATGATAGTCATTAAGCCAATCACCACAGTCTTTAAGCAAATTATGTCATTAAGTGAATGCCAGCAAAAAGTCCATTGGAGAAGCTGGATTCGTTCATTACGGTTCATCCGTAAAATGAACCATGTGATTCACTTAACATCCATCATAAAAATGATCATAAAATTGGGTCCGGTCATGTGGTGACTCGCTTGATGCCCACCCTGCTTAATGTCCAATTTTCTGGTCCCTATTGTGGTCATTAAGTGAGGACTACCTGTACTTTGCAAAGCAACCCTTTGAATGCTTTGCATAGCTCTTCTGAAAGCCATATGTTCATTTTCACTTTATAGCTTACATTTTTTTAAAAAGTCTCACACAACCGTATGATTTGTATTTTTACACACTTGATTATTGAATTATATTGACTTTTTTTTTTCCTCATCCCAGTTGAATATGTTGTGGAATATAATTATGATGCTGTACATGATGATGAGCTAACCATTCGAGTTGGTGAAATCATAAGGAATGTGAAAAAGCTAGAAGAGGAAGGATGGCTAGAAGGAGACCTAAATGGAAAAAGGGGCATGTTTCCTGATAACTTTGTTAAGGCAAGTATCAATTCTTCATTAAAGTTGTTGGATAACTTGAATTATTTATTATATCTGTATTGGTGGGAATTTAGCTTAGAGATCAGAAATAATTAAAACAGAACTGACGTTTAGGAAAGAGGTATTGGAAGAGTGTGGTGTAACATGGCAAATTTACGTGCCATTATTACGTGCAACTTCATGGCATTTCCTTTCTTTAAGGCAGTCAGTATTTCTGTACTGAGTAACCACTACATCCTTTCCATATGTGGATGCTAGTTGTGCTTTGAATTGCAAGTAAAATGCTAGATGTTCAATTCATGCCAACCTAGACATGATAATAAATATGTGCCTGCCTTCAGTGGCCTTACACGTCTAGTCATGACCTTCCCATCCCAAATACTTAGTAGAGTGGAGAATATTGTGATATCAGTATGTCCTGCTAGGTGTCATGGAGGGGTAAAGTGGGAGGGACTAGGTAACTGCAGATTTATTTTAATTCAGTGCATCTTAATAAGTTATTGTTCAGCAATGGCTTTGTGTCTCATTCCTTTCATTATACTATTAAATCAGACTTCACTTCTGGAAATGTGATTATTGTGATTGGGCAGAAGAGTAGATAGAAGTAGAATGCTAAGACCAAGAATTTTTTTTAATATGAATTGGGGAACAATATAATTTTATATAGATAGTATGCAAAAGAGATGGGGGGGTTGCATGATATATAAACTTAAAGTTCTATGTATATAAAGTTATAAAGCTACCCGAGGCGTCTGCTGGAGAAATTGTGAAAGGCAGATTATGAAAGCAGCATTGCACCAACACAATGCAAGCTGCACCCATTTTGTGCATGTGTTATGGCATCACATGCACATGCAAAAGGGATGCTTTCATCAGAATAGCACAATGCTGCTCTCATTCTTTTGGGGAAAGTACTGAATCCTGTGGATACCTCTGTTAGCTGCTCTTTTATGGAGGGTGGGAGGGGCATGTTATGACGTTCTGTGATTTGCTTTGTATACAAGCAGAAGTATGAAATATGCTGCTTGAGGCATTTTTAGAACTCTTTCTGTTTATAAATGCAGGACCATTATAAAAGGGGGTTATATATGTAAGTTTCCAAAAGATGTTAATACTTCTGAAAGTGATGAACTTGGAAGTATAGCAGAAAAAATTGGGGGCAGGGGGAACAAACCTTAACTTTCAGATTTCTAATTTCTTCTTATTTCTCTGGAATATTTTCAAAGTTGAAGATGAAGCTTTCTCACTATTAAAATTGTAAACCTACTGATTACTATTTTATGTGTTTTGGCACAGTCACTTGGATTGAGATGGGTGGCTATAATGTGTATGCTAAATAGATTGCCTCCCATGTTATGTTTCAGGTGTGATAGAATCAGTGTTTTCAGAATATCCCCAAAACTGCTGCAGAAAGCTAAAATCTTTTTTGTTCTTGATAGCAATCTTCTAATACCATGTAAGTCAAGTCTTCCCAGTGCAGTAGAACTTGGTCTGTGCTTTCAGCCCTCTGAATTGTGCTGTAGTGGATCTCTAGCTCTCTGAACAAACGATAGCCAGTAATAAATACTGTTTTGTTGGTAGACGGAAATTGTTTTAAAAACTGCTTTTCGGGAGCAAAACTAGAAACCTGGGTAGCTCCAAATGTTGTTTATTTACCCATTTGTAAACATTTAAAAGTCAAGTGCTTCCAGAGTTTTAAGCGAGGAACCATGGCTTATGATTCAGGCTTCTTTGCACATAGCACTTAAATTATGGACAAAGCCGTTCTGCTGACAAATATTGAAACAGGAGCAACCGGTGTATGCCAGCATGATGCTTGTTCATGCTAACTTGGAATTCTAAGGTAATCTGACTTAATGTGATAGCCAGATACAATAAGCAACAAATTCTCCTTATTCCAGTTCTGTTCCATGTCTGACAGCGTGGTATGTAATGTTCGTATGTAATTTGCTACATGTGTATACCATCGGACCCATAGGTGTACATGTGCCAAAATAGATGATGTCTCACTGCAGCTACATTTGGGGTGTGCAACATCTGTCATAGAACTGTGGTAAGTTATATATGTAAATTCAAGTATTGGGCAGATAAAGCAATAGTACAAGATTTCATTAATATTTTTGAGGCTACTAGGATCCCATTTCCAGATTAAAATCTTTATGTTAATCCAAATGTAATTTACTATACTTTTTAAGTGGAGAGTTCCAAGTTCATTGTAGAGTTCAGTTTTATATTAATGTATTTATTTCTCAGGCTTCTATGCTGCTTGAATCATAAAACCAACTCTGAGCAGCCTACATTTCTATAGCAATTGAAGTATAATAATGTATACATCCCAAAAGTAATGTAATGAATAATTAAAAAATCAGTGATATCACAGCAAGAAAAACTCATGCAAGATAATAATCATTTACAGCTGGGGAGAACCCAATTCTTAATCATGTCCAAAAAGCTTCCGAGGAAAGCCATGTCTTAATGGCCTTTCTAAGTGCCAACACATTTGCTGACCTGATCCCAGGCGGAATGCTGGGAGGTGACAGTGCAAAAGACCCTTGTTTTCCAGAGTGGGGACCAAAACTGAGCCTTCCGTTCCAAATCTTATTAAATGGGCAGAAACCACTGGGATCAGGTGATCCCGAAGATGTCCAGGTAGCTTTAAAAGTGACAGCCAATATATTGAATGCACCCATAAATCAACCAATAATAGTGCAGCTCTTGAGGTAGAGGTGTTAATTCACGTAGAATAAATTCTTCATATTACAATTTTAATTTAGATATGTTTCACAAGCAAAACTGTGCTTCTGCCCTGTATAATCTAGAATTTGGCAATCTTAACCAGCCAAAGAACCCTTCCCCGTCTTCCAAATTCTAAAATTCTTTTGTTTATTGAGAGCAAGAACCTTAAAATAAAAATGCATTTAAAATACAATATTCTGCTTTTATTACTGGTTCTAAATTAATAGTAATTATGTCTCTCTCTTTTTCAAAAGAACTCTCAGACTATTCTAATCTGGATTTAATTAGATGTCTTAAAACAATTATAAAGCCTAAAATTGAAATATTAAAACCACCTCTCATAAACATTAACAAACATTCTTGTTTGTTTCACATGTTGGAATTAAATGTGAAGCAATCATCTAGTTTTCAGATATATATGCTCTTACTCAAAAAAAAAAGTGTTTTTCCATTGAAAATGGTTTGCAGCTAGGAAAAATATTTTATATAACATTTAAAGAATTACCAGATTTTCTGCATTAAAGGCTGCACAAACATACCAGCATGTAATTAATAATAATATTAATATGGCCATCCAACTCAAACAGTTTGGCTGGGTGGCATACAATAAACCAAAGACAAAAATTCAGAAATATGATAAACAATATCAGCTAAAAACAAAATACAACAATTAATCAGCGATCAGGGATTCAAATTCATTGTGCTCCTCCAGATGGGAATGCCAGTCATCTTGGCCCAAATGCCCAAGAAAAGAGCCATGTTTTCACTGCTTTTCTAAAAGTCAGCAAAGTTGGGGCCAACTATATGCTGGGGGGCAGGGCAGAGAGATCATTCTGTGCCAGATTTGTTTTTTTCTTGGTTTCACGCTAGTTTTAAAACTTTGATTACAATAAGACTTATTGTGAAACTTTTGTCTACTTTTGGTAATTGAAAAAATTTGGAGAATTAAAGATGAATATGTAGATGTATTGGATGCTGCTGATTTTGTTTGTTTGTCCAACTTCAAGGAAAAATCTATTCAGCCTTGTTTGTGCTTCATTTTTAGAGAATTAGCCTATTGTAGCAAGATTTGATAGTACAGTGGTACCTCGGGATACGAATTTAATCCGTTCCGTGACTCTGGGCATATCCCGAGCTGGTCGTAATCCAACACAAATTTCCCCATAGGGTTCAATGTAAATCCGGTTAATCCGTTCTGCCCTCTGAATTTGGTCGCACCCCGAAGCAA